AAATTAATTATAGCAATATTCATATCAGTCAAAAAAAAAAAAATAAAAAAATTACAAATTTATTATCAAAGAAAGGAAATTTATGAGACTTTAATAACATTTCATTAAAAGCTTTTTTTTCAGGCAAAAATTTTTTAATATATGTTATTTATCTATTTTTTCAACTCCTAAAATTGAAATTAAAGATTTTCAACTAAAAAAAGTTTTGCATAAAATTCATTTCTTTTCTTTATTTATAATATCAGTATGATTTCAATTTCTTGTTAAAATATTTCTTTTTTTTTTGCATCTAATTATTAGCTTGCATTTATATTGCAATACAAAATGCAAACAAAAATATTTTACAATGCAAAATGTGACAAATCTATTAGTATTATTACAAATTTTTAAATTCATTTTTAAATTAACAATTAAGAAAGCGTTAATTATACGTGTTTTATAAAGTGTAGATGGAAAGATAGATAGAAATGAATGAAAATTAAATTAAACTTAAAAGTAAAAAAAAAGAAGGGAAAGATGTAATTATATTATAAATTAGCAGCCATGGTGATTTGAATAAAAAATTTTTCATTTTAATATTTCATTTGACAATTTGAATTCAATCATTAAGTAAAGACAAGGAAAAGAGAAAAGTGAAATGTGAAATTTTCTTTTTTTTTTTTTTTTTTTTTTTTCATTTGCATTTTAAATGAGTGTCACTGTCATATTTATGCATTTCTGTTAGTCCTATATTTGATTTACCTGCCAAAATTATTGTCATATAAATTATATACAAAGCAGAAAATTTTTTTTTGCTAATCAATACTTGTTAAGATTAAAATTTAAATTTAAATTAAACTAAATAACACTAGATAAGCATTGATTACTCTTTGTAAAAAGTTATGATTAAAATTTAAAAAAGATTTTTTTTGTATTTTTGGAGTTAAATTTTTTATAACAAAAAAAAAAAAAAAAAAATAGTCAATTATTAATTTAATACTTTCCATAACAATCGTTTTGATACCTATCGATTCATAAAAAAATATAAATGAATGAAAAAATCAATAAATCAATAATAAGTTAATAGAATGAAGAATAAATAAAAATAACTCATTTATATTTTTTTAGAACAAAAAAAAAAAAAAAAAAAGAAAAAAGGATAAATAAATGGAAGGTGAAAAAGACATTATTTATAAGACTAAAAGTTATGCTTCAGTAATTTCAGTTGACAACAATCCGGAATTATAGATTTGTGCTTCCGGTAAGAAGAAGGTAAGTAGAAATGATGCAATTTGACACAACAGGAGGGACAAGTTAAATAAAATGCTTTTTAAAAAGGTTCCATTTTAGCTAAGTTGAAATTTATGATTTTTTTTTTGTTGTTTATATCACCTTTTTATAATCATAAGCTTTTTGATTATTTCCATTTAAAATTTTAAAAGCTAGCAAACGCTTCTTTTTTAAGCATCCTTTTTCTATTACTACTCTTAGAAATCTATCAAAAACAATTCTGAATGATTAAATTATCTCAGCAATACACTTTTAGAGATTTATGATAAAGACAAATTTAGTTATACCAATTTCATTTCTCGACTTCATTTCTCGACTTTTTAATTTGATCTGTTAAGCTGTCTATCTAAAATGGTTCGCATTATTTTTACATATTAAAAAAAAAGACAAAAAAAGAATGGTAAATATATTTTTTATTGACATTGTGAAATAATTTGATGATATATTAATGATGGATGAATGATCAAAATCAAAAGTAATAAAATAAAGTACGAAATCGAGAATAATAATAATCTCGACCTATATTTAAGCTTTTTGATGATATAAGGAAAGTAAATTTAGTTTATCAGTAGTGCTTACATGCATTGATTTTTCAAATTTGACAACTTCAAGCACTTATAGATCTAACATTTATTTCATTGCATTTTTATTTTGCGCAATATTTACCTATGCAAAAATTAAAAATAAGTATTAGAACATTTAACAAAAAGGCGCATTTGGTATGATCTCTTTTTTTTTTTGTTTAAATCATTTGCATAAATTAATAAATTACTTATTAATAATTTGTTTATTATTGATAATTTGCATCTTTTTACTATTACTTTCAGCCAAAAATTCAAAGATAAACAGAAAATTGACTAATTTATTTACTATTACTTTCAATCTAAAAAAAAAGAAAAAAAGTTTAGGATTTATTCTTTTTTTCTAACATTTTATGTAAAAATTCATTGGCAATGAAATTTTTTTCTTCCTTTCTTCATCTAACACACAAAAGAATGAATAAAATGTTATTGAAAAAGTATTATGTGGTAGAATAAATGAAAGTTTCATTTAATAATTCAAGAAATTATATTATTAATTTATGTAAGTTATATTTACTTAGTTGTCAACGAGTTAAATTAATTATTCTTACATGCAAATAAGATGCACATCTAGCAACAATAAAAGATATAAAAACCAGAATAACTTAATCTTTTCGAAAAATTAAAAATGAAGAAGTATTATGTTAAAGGCAATCACACGTGTGACACGTTATTAGCGTACGTCATTATAGGTGCTAAAAGATTTCAAATGATAACTTTGATCATGAAGAAACCTTTTTTTCTTTCATTCAACAATAAAAATAAATCAATTAAGGATGTGAATTTGATGTTCTTCTGAATTTATTTATATCATAAAAAGAAACAGTTCATTTTTGTTCTGCAAGTAAATTCTTGATTTATTAATTTAACTAGATAATTCGAGAAGAAGCATTCAAAAAAATATTTATAATTTTTCAAGAAAGTAAAGTTAATAAAATTTATTCTCATAATTATAAAGTTGGAAATATTAAAATTTACCTAAAATTTCTAGATATTGAACCATTTTTTTTTGCTATATAAGTTGAATACAATGTGACAAAAAATATATATATATATATACAAGAATTAGTAATAAGCACCTAAAGTAAGTGCTAAAGAATTAAAATTATGTTATTAATTTGAAGAACTAATAAAGGCAGAATTTCTCGTATCTCAGATATTTCTCAAACTAAAATTTTTTTATGTGTAAAATTTTATTTTTTTGTTTGTTTGAAATATTTTAGATTTTTTGAAATGCATAAAGTTGAGAATGTTTTCTTTCTATTTCATTTCTCAATGAATCATATCTGAAAAATTTTTTCATTAATAAATTGACACTTTAAAATAGTTTTATTCATAAGATGGAAAGGAAAAAAAAAATAATATTTTGTCCTATTTAGGCAAATTTCAAATGTGCTTTAAATTACTTTGTGAGAGGACATTTATCCAGAAATATAACTTAAAGCAATATATAGTGTCCTAGTAGGATAAGGTAACAAATTGAATTTGTGTCATTTCAAATGTGCTTTAAATTTTTGACAGTTCAATGAAGACATTTTAGACATTTTAGATTTCTCTCATATGAATACTTCATTGTAAGGTGAAATCAAATTGATATTAAACAAACTTTTTCCAATTTCAAACAATTTGTTGCTTAAATTTGTTTGCTATCTCTTGCATACTTAAAATTAAACGTAATTAAATGCTAAATTTAAAAAAATAAATGAAATAAAAAAATAAATAAATCGCTGAGGCATAAGAAAAAAAAAAAAAAAAACTTTTTAAAGTTAAAATTATCATACATAAACTAATTCAAACTGAAAATATATTTCTATATGAATTGAAATGCAAAAATATTTTTGATTATTTCAACTACAGTAATCTCTCTGTCTCTTTCTAACTTTTTTTTGCTAAACGACAGTAACCCATTTCTTTTGCTGTGGGACTACCGTAGTCCTTCCATTCTTTTGTTTAGGAACTACAGTAATCTCTCTCTTTTTTTGCTATAAAAGAGAAAAGTAAAATGTGATTAAGTATTACCATAAAAATTTTGTTTTTCATCAAAAATCATATAATATTTCATTGTTATCAAAGGATGAACTGATAATATCTTATCAAAAAAATTTATCAATTATGCAAATCAAAGTTATTCATAATATTTTCTAAAAATTTCAAAAATTCACTTTTAATTTTTTTGCATTTTTTATGATAACTTATGAACCTCCAATAATTTTTACTAAGCTTATATATTTAAGATTTTTTTTTTTTTTTTTTGAAATTTCGCAGTTGGTTTTCTAAGAATTGTTCAAGTTTTTGTAAAATTTTCCAAAAATTATTAAAATTTATAAAATTCCAAACTCTTTTTTTTTGAAATTTTTAGAATGTTCAGTAATTTATTGAAGAGATTGCTGAAATTTTTTGAAAATTCGAAGAAATAATAAAACGATTTTTTTTTTTTTTTTAATGCTATGAGAAGGAATTGTCAACGCTAATGATTTTCTCTCCGTAATCAAAATTCTCTTTGTGACACTTTTTTTTTGTTCTTTTTTTTTTAGCAGTGTAAAAGCGATGGTAGGCAAATTTCATTTCACTTTTATAATATTTCATTGTAAAATTTTGCAGATGAAATTTTATGAAATGAACAATTTTTGTACACATACAAATTGTATATATATATATATATATGCAAATTGATAACTGCTTCAAGCATATTTTTCAGTTTATCTCAAAATTTTACAATCTTTTTATTAATCAAATTAAATTATTGCTATCATAAAAAAATCTAGTCAAAATAGAAATACATTTTTTACAATTTATTTTTTTTTTTTCAAAGACTTATTTAGTAATACTTAAAAAAACCCGTCTATCCCATTCCCTTATGATATTTTCCAATGGCAATATGTCGACAGGTGTATCTCTTTAATTAACTCATTGAAAAATTAATATATTAAGCATTTGACAGGTATCTTCTCTTCCATATACATCCGTTTCATTATTTTTGATAATACCTGGGCCAATTTTCGTTCTCATTTTATCAATTCCACTCAGCAATAATTGAATTAAGCCAAGAAAATTTACATCAAAACATAGCGGAAGTATTTATCCTAAAAATCTCCTCACGAAATATTGGCTCAGTTATTCAACTATTACTAACTATATAGTAAGCTGTAGTCATAATTCTGTAATAGGCACAGGATATTCAGAAATAATCCTAAAATTATCATCCGCAAAACTTTTGGGTAATGTTTGCGGAATTGTTGCCGCAGGTGGCGGTATCGGATAGATCGGACGTGCACGTTCGTAAGCGTTATATTCCGCAGGAAACATTACGCTACTGTAATAACCTTCATCGTCATAGAGACCGGTTGATCGAGAAAAACCTGAAAATTTGGAAAAGAATTAAGTAAATTGTAAACATATATGATACTTATCTCTTAAAATTGATTCATTGAAAAATTTTACTTTTTTTTTTTTTTGATCATCAAATAGTATAAGTAGCAAGATTTTTGCTTATTTACATAAGCGCTATTTATTCTAATATATTTAATTAATCGATCAATTTCTAATTTCATTATATCTGTTATCATTTGATATTTTCATTAATACTTAAATTAAATCAATTATCAATTAAAAATGATTAAATCTAAATAAACAAGCTATTAGTTATCAATTTATCTTATAGCATACCGTTTGAAGTACTGTGATTTGCTGTCGTATAGCAAGTCTGTTCGGATAGTAAATCAGATTTATCATTGATTGGTGAAGTGATAAGAAAAGGTTTACTGTATAGCTGTGAGCGACATTTATTCCGACTACGATATTTGGTTGAAGAAATTTTATTGCATAATGGAAAATGTCGACCGATACAGATGCCAAGAAGTAGTAGAATTGTGAGAAATAATAATGAAGCACCAATGATAGCAATGCTTAACTGTGATTCGTTTAATGTTGTACAATTCTCAGACTGTAATTAAAATAATTAAAATCGTAAAAGAATTGAAATTCAATTCAATATTATAAATTATACATTTGAAATGGAAAAATAAAATTAACAAATTAAGTTTTTAAAAAGTATTTTTAATATTTTTTTACAAGTTATATTTTGATTATTCCATTGTATTATCAAAAAAAGATTAACCTTCGACCTTGTTGAACAGGAAAAGATTTTGGTAATCTTTGATATATTATTATTTGATACAATTACAAATAAATTATTCTAATTTTGTAGAGAGATTCATTATTTTTGCTACTGCAAAAATCTCTTCGATATTTGCAGATTAGTTTGCCCACCACAAATATTACTCGGAAGGGCGGGGAAAAAAATGGTCACAAAATGATAAACTGATAACATACTAGCTGCATGATATTTTTGTCGAATAGCCAAGGTGGAGTGAAACAGGTGGCATTTATTGGGAATTTTCGGAGTACTTCCGGAAGAAACGATAGCATATCGCAATCACAATGTAGCGGATTACCGGATATGTGCAATGATTTCAAACTGAAATTGACGTACAGTTTACTGAAGTATAATTTAGAGTAAGTAATAATAAATAAAAGTGAACAAAAAAATAACAATATGTGACGATAAGTCATCGTTGAGAAAGTTGTCACATACTTTGTCCAAGCAACAAGTTTTTGCGGTAATCGTTTCAGTTGACAATTGCTCAAGTCGAGAATCTCCAATCGATCACCGTACTCAAATGCATTCTCATCTATTTTTTCCAAGATATGGCATGAAGATAAATTAAGTTTGCGTAAATTTGTCAAACCAGAAAATGCATTCAGCTAAAAAAAAAAAAAAATGTCTGATATAAAAATTAAAAAAGTGAGAAAAATAGATTTTTAATAAAATTCATCAAAATTTCCTTTTGAAATGAGTACAATCAGTAATATTTATCTCATAGCATGCATATTTCTCCAAAATAAGCTAATAATAAATTAAAAACTAAAATTGCTTAAAGACTCTTTTTGCCTAAAGAATATTTATGATTTCAGCCATTTAAATATTTGTTTTAATCTATTCTTTTAATTAAAAAGATTTAAATTAATATCAAAAATGAATTGCATTATTATTATTTTTAAAATAATATTTGAATTAAACAACTAACAATCATTTTAAGATGAAATTAGGCTTAAATGCAAAAACCTTTATGGAATGCAAATATGGTTCATTGGTCATTTGAAGTATTTCAAGTGAGTTTAAACCATCAAATGATGATGTTGCTAATTCCATCATTTGATTGAAGGATAGATCAAGCTCACGTAATAAGCTTAATGAACGATAATTTGATGGTTCAATTCGTTGTACCTAAAAATAAACTTTTAGCAAAAATGCTAATACAGAATTACTATCCTTTATTAAATTTAAGTATTGAAAAAAAAAAGTATTAATTAACAGTTTATTTTGTTATTTTAAAGCAGGAAATTTAGCAGAAAAATCAGAACTGTTAAAAAACTTTTTGTTTTTTTTTTTTTTTTTTTTTGTTAAATAAATTTTTACATTTTTGATTTAATTACAATACTAATTAAAATATACCAAATTATGACTAATATTAAGGTACTGCAAATTATTGAGGCCATTGAATGATAAATCAAAGAATGAATTTGAACTAAGGTCAAGATGCTTTAAAGAGGTCAAACTGACCAATGTGTCTGATCCTATCTGCAATAAAAAAAATTAAACATTTCTTTTTTTTCGTTGCAAATTTGATATATTTTGAATAAATAAAGAGGAAAAAAAAAGATGAAAAAAAAATTTTTTTTTTTTGAAGAAATAAACAAAAACAAAATGCAATCGCTTTTTTTTTTGAGAATTTTTTAAGAAATAAAAAATAGTAGAAGAGATTAGTTGAGCAAATTTTTGCATTTACAGTTATATCTGATCATTATTCATTGCTTATCTTCTTTTCCCAATTAACTGATAAGCAAAGATCAATTTAATTAACTGATAACCCCAACATATCTGATTAACTGATAGGCAAAGATCAATTTAATTAACTGATAACCCCAACATATCTGATTAACTGATAAGCAAAGATCAATTTAATTAACTGATAACCCCAACATATCTGATTAACTGATAAGCAAAGATCAATTTAATTAACTGATAACCCCAACATATCTGATTAATTCATAACCCCAACATATCTGATTAACTGATAAGCAAAGATCAATTTAATTAACTAACTGTTGAAAGATTATTATGGCTGAGATCAAGCGAATGCAAAGTTAACACATCATCAAATAGATGTTCAGCAATTGTATGCAATCGATTGTTCGACAAATCTAGCCGTTGCAAATTTTTTAAACCAGTAAAAATATCCGGTTGTAAAATTGTGAGCAAATTATCTGATATGATTAATTCCTGAAGGCTATTAAGTTCCGAAAATGAAAATGGTTCCAGTTGAGTAAGTTGATTCGCCGAGAGATCAAGTATCTATAATATTATTCTTTGCATTTATTTCTTAATTTTTTAAATTTAAATTTATTTTTTTTTATACCTAAAATTAACTTATAATTACTTACTTTAATAGTAAATAGTTATTAAGGTAGTAAATTGTTTTTGGTAGATTTACATTATTTTGCTTTGAAATGATTTAAAAAATTATTGAAATAATTATAGCAATTTTTTTTTTAAATTCAGAAATTTTTTTTGTGAATTTAAAAATTTACTAAATTTTGGTTTTATTTTTGTCTTTTAGTTGTGTGACATTTATTATTTTTTTTTGTCATTATTTGATTGGTAATCCTTAATCAGTTCTCACTTTGTATTTTTGATGTAATTTGCAAAAAATCATTTTAAAAATTTCCATTTTCAAAATTCTTTTTTTAGCAATTAAATAAGCACAGAATATTAATTATCAAATATAGCTAATTAATTAATACTACCGACATTAATTAAACATAAAGTATGCATTTTTGGTTATCTTTTTGTATGATAATTTTTCTTTTCTATTTAATTTCAAACTTTTTTTTAGAATTCCACAAATTTAATAAATTTTTTCTCAAATTAATTATTTATCATCAATTTACCATCCAATTGCAGGAATTTTTACATATTAAAATACGAAGATATTACACAAAGAAATTAAAATATTCCAAATCTAAAATTAGAATTAAAAAACAAAGAATTCAAAACATTCCAAATGTAAAATTTTTTTCTTTTTTAATATTATTTAATTCCAAAAAAAAAAGTTTTATTTAGCTATTTTATTGATAAAATCTTACTTCTTTTTATAATAAATTATTGAAAAATATAATATATATGTAAAATTATCAGCTTTATTGAACAAAAAAACAAAAACAAAAAGTTAAGTTTAAAGTAGGAAAAAAAAATTAAATGACAAAGTGACAAAAGAATTTAGCTTTTGTCATTGTGTCATTGTCATATTTCTGATAATTACTCTGTAAATTGATAATAAAAATGTTCAAAAATGCTTGAAAACATGAAATTTGAGATTGTACAAAGCAATGCAAAAGGTAAAATAAGAAGGAATTGTCTATTTGATCCATCCAAATCAATTAATAATGACCAACAATTATTTTTTACCCTTAATTATTTCCTCTTCTCTAACAATAAATAAAAAAAATAAAATTCCAACTATGTAATTTTTAAAGTAATCGATTTGATCTTTATTTGCTTTGTAAAATAATCATAGTACAATTAAACTTGATCAATTAAATAAACTATCTTTTATCATAAAGCAATAATATCAATGCTAATAGATGCATTAATTCATTATTAGTTTTTATCAATGATAATTTTGTTTATAATTTATTATTAATTAATCAATTAAAAATTTTGTTATTTTCATGAAAAATTTATTATCTTCATTGCTGCTAGTGTTTTTTTTCTTCTTTTTTTTTTTTTTGATAATTTTTTAAATTAAAATAAAAATTTTTTATCACCTGTAATTGGCTTAAACCAACAAAACTATCCATTTGTAATGATGAAAGTTGATTTCCATTAAGACGTAGCACTTGAAGTTTTGTTTGATATTTGAAAATTTTCATACCAATCATATCAATTTTATTGAATGATAAATCAAGATATTCTAAATCTGAAAAAAAAAATTTTTTTTTTTTAATATTAATTAATATCCAAAAAAAAAAAAGATAATCTTTAGCTATTTTATTGATAAAATTTTATTTTATTTTATAATAAATTAGTGAAAAAAAAAATCTTATTTAACTATTTTATTGATAAAAACTTACTTTATTTTATAATAAATTAGTGTAAAAAAAAAAAATAATCTTATTTAATTATTTTATTTAAAATGATAAATTGATGAGCTTACCAGGATATAATTCAAGAATATCAGGATCCAATCGTTTCAACGTACAATTTACCATACTTAATGATGTAATTCGTGGATCCAGCAATGCTGGTATGTCATTTAACACTGTGTCATCACAATGTGTCACCTTTTGCTCCCCAGATATGCAAATGCATTCCTTTGGACACATTGAAAAGACAATTTGTGGTATTATAAGGCAAAGAATTGATATTTCTTTGCTATATTTCATTATTGCATAATGGTGCTAAACCACCAATTCAAAATTTTAACCATCACAAATTGTCCATTAAAAAGTATAAATTCAATTTGTTTAATCCAAATATTTTGCTCGTTGATGAAAAATGATTTTAGGTTAAATTGAATTGACCTGAAATGTTCAAATTTTTGATTGCAATTAAATAATGCAAAAAAAAAAAAAAAAAAAAAAAGAAAGAAAAAATGTTATTAAAGAATAAATAAAACAAATGAAATAAATACTATTTTAAAAGAGAAATGTAAACATTAATCAATAAACAATAACAAATATTAACAAATGGAATGAATATATTTGAAAAGATAAAATTATTGTTGAAAATTAATGAATGAAATTTTTAAACAATTTTTTGATTATATTAAAAATATTATAGAACAGCGGGAAAAAATGTAAAATGAACAGAGATATTTTCTCTCTTCGTCTTACCCTCTCTCTCTCTCCCTTTTCTCATTTTTTCTTTTTAAAGAAAAATTTATCATTTTTATTTTTTAATTATTTTGAAGTGTATTTTTTTTTTTAAGTCAACAAAATTCTAAAAATTCATTTAATCCTTTTTTTTTTTTTAATTTTTTCTTTTTAATAATAAATAAAAATCCATTTAATTTCAATATACTAAATGCATTTAACGTTTGGTTCATTTCTCATCAAATTAACTCTTTCAATTTCAAATAATTTTAATTGAAATGAATATTTGCAGTTTAATTATCAAAATTATAATCAATATTTATCAATATTTACATTATTAATTATCATTAAATGAAATAAACTTTATTTAATTATTCAAATATTTATACTTTTTTTAAAGAAAAAAAGAAAGTAAACATTTTAAAATAAAATTCTATAATTGAAAAAAGAAATGAAAAATCATCTTTTTTTTTTTTTTTTTTTAAAATAAAAAATAAAATGCGCAGAGAGAAAAATGAAATCGTTTTGTTTAAAGGCAGCAATATATCGATAATCATTTCAAGATGGTTCATCTAATTTTTTCATTTCCATCTTTCACTCTCTCTCCCTCTCTCTCTTTCTCTCTCCCTTTCTTTCTACCTTTTTGCTTCTTTTTTTTTATTGACAAAGTGTTCCAAAAGTTTGAAACTAGTTATTTCGAAATTATCGATGTATTTTTCTGCACTTCAATGAAAAGTAAAATAGCAAAAAAGGAATTTCTCTCTCTCTCTTACCAATATCATTTGATAAACAAATTGAAAAATTTAATTCAAATTTAATTTTAATTTTTTCTTTTTTAAAAAATTCTTTAAAACTTTTTTTTTTTTAAAAAATAAGCTTAAGTGATTTAGTTGACATTATATATTCCAATAAAATTTTCATTCATTTCTTTAAAAATATTAAAATTAAGTTCAATTACATTACGATTATACTACTATGTCATATGAAGTAGACATGATATGAAGCAAACGTAAAGTAGACGTTAATATTAAGCGTGTACGTCAAACGTGTTAAGTTATAAGTAAATAACAAGAAAATGCTTCTGCTACAAAATTGATAAAAAAGAGAAATGAAAAAATAACAAATGAAAGTTTTGAAACGAATCAATTTAAGTTTTTTTTTTTTTTTTTTTTTTTGCAAAATTAACAAAATTTTTAAAATGAAATGAAATGAAGCATATTTTTCTCATTGGAAACAAATTCGAATAAATTGGAAGGAAATTTGCAAATGTGCAAAATTATTTGACATATGGTAGTGTTAATTTTTTGTTAATCTAATCGTTCCTCTAAAATAATACAAAAGTAATATTTGCATTAAAGTATTTTCTCATTATTACATAACTAATTTTTAAGGTTATCTTAAAAAAAAAAATTAGAATTTAATTTGAAATAAGAAATGAAAAAGAATTTTTTTTTCTCTCTCTTAAAAAAAAAGTAAAAAGTAAAAATAGATGGAAAAAATTTTTTGAATAACAGACTACTATTATTAATAATATTTTTTGATTTTCTTACAGCAATTTAATTAATTAATTATACCTGAAAAGCAGAGGAAAATGATTTGAAATATATATTCGTTATATTTGATAATAATAAATTTCAAATTTGATCATTTTGGGAAATTTTGCAAGCATTGGAAAATATTTTATTGTGGCTTTTAAAAGTGATCCAAATTTGGTTTGTCGTTTTTTTTTTTAATAGCTTCTTAAAAATTTAGTAATTTAAATGAAATGAATTAGAGAGGCTAAATGTTTCTTTTATTCTCGTTCAATTTTATAAATTTTTTTTTTTTTTTTTTTGAAAATTATAAAATTTTTTAAAATGATTTTCATCATTTGATTAAAATATGATTTACTGTTAAAGAAAGTAAACATTTATGGATGAATATTTCATCTGCAAATAGTTACTATTTTAACATTTAAGCAATGAATGAAAAGACTGAGTGATCTTATCTTTTTGATATATCTGATAAGAAAATTTCGTTATATCGTTTCTTTTTTCTTGATCATCGATTTTTTTTTATCTTTTTTTTTTTTTTTTTTTCAAATAAAGTAGTAAATTTAGATAGAAATAAAACAATCTTATCCCTGATAGATGAAAATTTTTTATATCTTTATGTTAAGAATTATGATAATATCATTGACTGATTAATTAATGATAACAAATTAAAAGCAAACATTTTAGAATAAAATTTGATTGTTAACAAATTTTTTTTTCAAACAACAAACAAAAATAATAATAGTTAGATTATTAATGATAAAAGAATGTTATTTGTTATTATTGTTTCTGATAATTCTTACAATTTTTTCTCAAAATTTCATTTAAAAAAAAAAAAAAAAAAATTTATAAAATTGAACGAGGATAAAAAATTCATTTCGTTATTAAAATAATTTTCTACAGTAGTGCTTTTTTTTCTAAAAAATAAAATATTTGATTAATTTAAACAATTATATATTTCGCTAATATCAAATTTCTCATTGCAATAATTCAAAAAAAAAAAAAAAAAAAGAAAAAAAAGCAATAAAATTTTTGAAGAAAAGATATTAGAGATAATTAATATTAGAGGTGATTATCATTAAACAGAGTAATTTAAGTGATAATCGATAATTATCATTAAACAGAGTAATTTAGTGATAATTGATAATACGGATAATTTGATCATATCATATTTATAACCCATTAATCATTCATTAAAATGAACAATTATCAATCTTCAAAAAAACAAAAAACAAAAAACAAAAAAAAAAAACTCTGAGAGTGAATAAATTGTATAGTAATAAAGTATGAACTATCAATTAAATTAGATTAAATTAAAAGCTAAGCTAATCATTCATTTCAAAATATTTAAAAAAAAAAGAAAAAAAAAAACTTTTTTTTTAAGCTCAAAATGACTGCATAAGAAGGAATAATAAGCTAAGCTTTTCGAAATGATCAAAAATCGAAATGACCTTCTCATTTTTGTTTTCCTACCATTGACCTTCAGTTTATCTACCATAAAAAAGGCAAAAAAAAAAAAAAAGAGAGGAAAACGAATGATGGATATGGCTAAAATTGTCAGATTGATCAGCATGATAATGAGGAAAGATTGAAAGAGACTTGTAAATTGTAAGCAAACGGATATGATAGTTATCAAAATTAGCTATTTTATGTTTTAAATGTTAGACAACCGAGTCGGTGTCACTGTCACTGTCACCGTTATTATTATTATTATCAACATTTTATGTAACTATTTTATGTAATTTTTATACAATTTCTAAATCTTATGTAATTATTTTGTTTCAATTTGAAAGTTAAACAAAGATTAGAATTATCTTCATGATAACTTGTAGATTATTATTTCAAAACTAATGAAAAAAAAAAATTTTCTTTTGCATTATTTTGAAACTAAATTAAGCAAAATTCTGAAAAAAAAAAAACCAACAATTATTATTATTAATTAAAATTCAACAATTATTACTATTATTCAACAAAAATTCTAATCAAGAAAAAATCTATTGTATTATTTTGAAAAATAAATGAAATATTGTTAGCAGAAATAATAAAATTGTCCTTTATAAGTTAAAAAAAAAAAAAAAAATTGAAAAAAAAAAAAAAAAAACATGTAAAAATTGGTAATAATTATAACTTTATCAAAGATTTTGTATAATAAATGCGAAGAAAAATCATTGTTATAAGCAGTAAATGTGAATATTTCATTTACTTTTACAGAAAGGTTAAAGGGCAGAATTAGTTAGTTTTATTGCAATACTTTTAGAACTCTATCAATAGTTTTCTTTTTTTTTTATCTTTACTATCATTATGTCATAAATAATTTTTTCATATAAATGAGAAGTTTAAATTTGGGCGCTCATCGACCGATTGTTATCAGCAAAAATGATGAGAGGATAATAGCGCACCATGAGTTTATTTCTAACGAATAATTATGCATAATGGAGCACTTGATTAATGATCATTTGCAAATCTGAAACGATTATTGCAAATGAATCACACTCTGATCACAAATGATCATGCTGTGATCACAAATGATCATACCCTGATCATCTTTTGTTAGCAAAAAAATTTTCCAGAAGACATATCTTTTTTTTTTTTATTTTTATTAATTTTTTTTTTCTTCATACTTTTATCTTTATCATTTCTTATCATTTAATTTTGAAAAAAATAGAAAATATATATGAATGGTAGCTGTTGATTTATTATAACTATTAGATAATAGATAAATTAAAATTTTGTAAGATAAATCTAAAATACAATCATTGTTACATGCAAATGTTATTATTTCATTTGAATTGCTAAGAGGTTAAAGGGCACAATAAGGTTAGATGAAATGTAATTTGCGCTCTATCGAATGGTACCATCTGCCCAATCAGTTTCATATACCAAAATTGTTGTAACAAAAAAGCCGCTGATTGATATCTATCATATATTATTCACAGTGACAAATACTTTAAAAAAAGAAACGAAAAAAATTTAAACATT